TGGAGATTAAGTTACCTCTCATCAGCATAAAACTTGGAAAAGTTCTTTTTATTTCCAATCAGCTGCACAATCGGTCCTGCCGACGAGCAGACCTAGTGCGGTCTCCAGAGGTGGTATCCACTCTTTCAGGACCACCACAATGGGTGAGATACCGTTGGTCATGTTAATTTGGACGTCTAGTTTCTGCCACACTAGATGGCAGCACCGAGACTCTATTTGGATGCTAAAGTGCACTAGGAATTTAATTTTGCCGGAAATATCAAGACTTGGAAAAGTTACTACGCCATTTACCAGTAGATTTGCTTATTTATTTAGGCCCGTAGCACAGGGGTGTCAAGTTGAACTGAGCCCTACATAGCTAAGTGATTAACCCATCCCCAGAAGACTTTTAAAAATATTAAATTTCATCTAATAACGTTAATATTTATACATGTCAATATATTATGAATTAATATATTTATTCTTACTAATATGAATTATACAAATATAAATAGATCATTTATATTAACAAATACCAAATCCACGAAGGCAAATTTCTCCCAATACTTGATCCAGGAGTTCCCTTGTCTTCCGCATTGGATTCAAAATTACAAGACTACGGAGTTGAACATTGGTAGTCGTAAACCCAAAATTGGGTCGACTGTTCAACGACAGTTATAAAATAAAATAGATATTTCTATAGTGTATATGTGATCTGACTAATTCTGTTTTCTTATCTAATGATACATTCATGAGTACTCAATGTAACAGTAAATGGCTCTATCGAAATATAAATTTTTATAGTACAGTGAAACCATTATGCCTCTTCTCCGGAAAACGGACACTCCCGTAACCGGACGCGGACAGTCATTTATATCCTGAAACGTTATTTTCCATCTCTACAAAATGGACAACAATTTTTCTAAACTAGAAAAAAAACTGTTTCTGTATTAAATTCTAAGGAAAACAATATGCAACTCTCCACCATTTTAAAACACGCAATTTTTTACCTTAACTACAACTGAAAACATTAAGCTATTTCAGTACTAAAAAATCAATCATTTTCTTTACACCTTCCTTCATCTTTGCAAAGAAAGGAGAGAAAATGATACTGCTCATGTGAAATATTTCAGACAGTGGCATCTTTTGATCTTTTCATTTGGACGATATCGGTTATAAGACCTCACAAGCTGATATGATGCCTTAAATTGCATTAATCTTAATTTTTTGTGCATAGTTGGAGGTTTACTTTCAAGGAGGTATTACCACATTCCTAATCAAGTGACAGGGAGATGTTAGGTGGTATAAACCTAATAATTAAACTGTCTGAGGAAGTGGCGTAGGACTAAAAGCACATAACCGTTATCATGTTACTGTGAAAATAGTAAATGAATAATCATAAAAAATAAAAGTGCAAAGATATACATTAAGAAAATTCATTTGCATTAAAAAATATGAAAATGTCAATAAAAGTTGTGTCAAACATGTTTGGAGCACTCAAAAATCTGCACCCTTTCTCAAGATTCACCATTCTTAAATGAGGAAAACGAAATTGGTTTTGTTTTCCTCATTCACATCTAGATTGAGAATGGGCACCGATTTTTAAGCGCTCGAAATGAGTCAACTTTTATTACCATCTACATATTTTTTAAAGCAAATTAAGTTTTATATCATCAAGGAATCAATGATCTGGCTGTTATTAAATAGCCTCTGGCAAACCATCTTGATCACTTTTCAAAATTATCGTATAAACTTTAATGGTAACCAAGCCGAATGCATAGCACAATTGTAGTTTATCATTCCACTTCTCTAACTCCTCCTCCAATACAGCTACCTTAATTAGTTTTAAACAATATATAAACCATTTTTTTTCACAGCCTAGCTATTGAACAGGCAGAAGTACTTAAATGTTACTTATTTTCAAGAAGTTAGCAATATAGTCAAAGTTTTTTATACATTGAATTTTAGTAACAATGGCCCCCGTCAGCCATTAATTATTTGTATTATTAGAAGTATTAAATTCATTAGAGGTATTACATACATTAGAAATAATAAAATTCAATCTCTGCTTTGAACTAAGATAGCTCCATTACAAGCTGTACTACTTCATCATGCACTTCTGGAGACATAACTTGAGTATCGAATAATATATATGCTATTGCTCGAAAAAGGCAAGCTCCATCACCAAATAATTGATATAAAAGTATGCGGCGCCATAGCACCATTTATTGTTTAAAATTTCTACAGCCTTTTTAGAAAGCATACTAAAAAATTTTTTAATAATTACATGGCACAGTGATGAGATTAGCCAAAAGGCAAAAAAGCTGAATTTCAATGATAGTAAATTTTACGCAAGCGTAACCCTTTAATAATAAATTCCAGACAGTTTAAGGTAATAAATAATGTGTTGACATACAATTGTGTACTAATCTATTATTATANAATTAAATTCATACAGGGTATCTGCTATATTTTGGATTTCCAAATCCATGACTTTTCATGAATAATTCCAAGAATTTTTCATGACTTACCGAAGTTACTATTTTCTCCACAAAAACAGAACAATAAATTAAAAAAAATTGATTGAAATCATAGGTATAAACATAAGTGTTATACTCTGCATCTTCATATTTATTGATTTTAAACTTAAAAAACAGAGTAAAGTAAGATTTGAAGCAATAAAATAGCTGAGAAAAATACGAAAGTAAATAACTAAATACTGTCAGATATATGTAGTTAATTAAAGCTGTTTTATTTCTTCCTTAAAGCAAATGTAATATAAAAAGCCTAAACTAGAATTTTAAATTGATACAACAAAAAATAAATAATAAATAAATAAAAAAAACTCTGAAATCACATCACAGAAGTTTAAAAGATAATTCCCGCTAGAAATTATGTTCTTTTTTTTATTTTTGGAAAAAACACCATAATCTTTAAGGGACAGGATTAAAACACTTTATATTTTAATAAAATATGACTATGAGTGGGAATTTTGCTACAAATTTAGATATTTGGAACATCTGAACAATATGAAATTGGGAGGGAGGGTAAATTCCATTTTAAAAATTAGACTTTTTGGCGACCTAAATCCATGACTTTCCATGATTTTTTTTTTAAAAATAGTTAAAATCATGGCAAATTTTGTTCAATGCGGAAATCAATGACTTTCCATGATTTTTCGACTTTCAAGGTGCGCAGATACCCTGTAATTACTGTGTAACTAAGAAATTATTTCTATAAAATTACAAATTTATTATAAATACTGAACAATTAACTATTCTACACAACTTAGATTATTACTTAAGATAACCAAACAAAATGAATCTAAATAAATATTTACATAGAACTAATTTTCGAAACTAATTACATTAGCACTTGAGACAACATAACAAAATGAATAATAACAATAGTGTAGCCAATAGATAAAGAAATACCCAAGTTTCGGGTGCCATATAAGAAAATTATATATAGAAATTACCAAGGCCCTCGTTCTTAGCTTTAATCAATTTAAAATGAATAGGCGAGGAAGAAAGTGTACAAAATAATAATTACTTTTTCTATTAAAAAAAAAACATTTTAAAAGCATGAAACAAGTCTTAAATTTTATGCATATGCATTTAGCAAATGCAGAATAAATTGATTCAATCTAAAAACAAATCCATTCTGAAATCATGTTGTGGTTTATAAGAAAACGGAATAAATTTTTAAAAAAATTATTTTAACTTTCAAATGGTAGAAATATTCAAATTCAGGGTTCCCACTCTATGATGAGATTGAAATTCAAGGACTTTCCAGGACTTTTCAAGGACCTCAACAAAATTTTCAAGGACCTTAATCTNTGCTGTGCTCTGCGCGCTTGGCAGACACCAAGTCGCAAGGCCCAGTTAGAAACGGTGGCGTTAAAAACCACGTGAGAGAGCTCGGGAACAAAACAGAAAGAACGAGAAAGATCCGGGGGAGTTTTATAAAAAGGGCCGCCGGCAGTATAGGACAAATTCAAGGACCTATCAAGTTTTTCAAGGACCTAAGACGTTTTTCAAGCACTTTCAAGGACCTAAATTTAGCAAAATAAAATTCAAGGACTTTCAAGGACTCTCAAGGACCGTGGGAACCCTGAAATTGGAATAATCATTTGAAATGTTCATTAATTCTGACATTGGGGTTACTATCTTAATAACTTCAAAGCCTATAGCAAATTTTATTGTTTCAGAGATGAATCATTCAACATATTCCTCGGACATGTTTCCCAGAAACTCTTTCATTCTGAAACTGAAAAATTTGCTAACCTATAAGAACTTAAAATAAAAAATTTGCTAAAAATGAGAATAAGGAATTGATTTTGATAATTTTAATCCAGGCGGAAAAATTACACCAAATAATCAATTTTTAAAAGAATTTAATAATATTTAAAATATTTCAGTTATTCATCTGTTCTATAGCCCAGATCCTTTCCCGACAAAATGGCAGATATAGTATTAAAATTACAACATTGTTTCAAATGTGTGACTTAAACTGTGACTTTTTATTTTCCTTTGTGAAAGAGCTTTGAATCAAGTTAACTTAGTTTAGAGCTACGCTTTTTAAATGTGTTTCTTAAACCTAAAAAATGGTAAATAGAATTTTTTTGTGCTAATATTGTGCTAATTTATCAAGAAAATTGCTTCATTGGGGTAAAATTTAACTATTATGTGTTAGCTAGAATAAACAGCATAATTTCAGTGCTAAATTAATGATGTAGAGTCACAGGAAAGGGTAACAGCTAATAAAAAAAGTTAAACTACATCATATTTTTTAATTATTATCATATATACCAGTCAAGTTTATGCATAACTGCCTAGCGTAAATCAAAGCTGATGAACTGATAGTTATTTTTTATAACTCTGTACAAAAAGTGAATATCTAGCTAAAATGAAAATAGGAACAGACAATGTAAACTTTGAATGTGAATCAACAGCCCTGGATTAAAATAAAGGAATGTTTAAAAACATTTAAAACAACACATAACAAAATAACTAGATCTGTATTATTGCATTGCTTTTGTTTTATTTAGTAGTAAACAAATTTACAGCTATTGAGACGCCATAAACAGTTCATAGTAAATAAATCTTTAAAAAAAATGCAAAAAGAATGAGCACTATTAGATGGAACGTCGCAGATTAAGCAACTTGTGAATCAAGAATATTATTCCCAGTAGAGTTAATTGTTGTATAACAACAATGTTTCTTCAACTTTAGATTATGAAGAAGTAAATTTCAAAAGGAATAGTTGTAACATTTTAGAATTTTATGCGGATGAAAAGTCATATCACAATCAGTGACTTTCTCCTTTTTTGCCAGCTACCTAAAATTAAAATTGCAAAAATTAGCATACATTTCAAAATACATCATAAGCATAAAAATGCTATTCAGAACATTTTAACAATTCAGAACAAAAAAAGCCTAGATGCACAACAAAACAGATTGCAGAGTCTCAACATCTCTTTATGACCTTAAACTGCTTAAAAGTTGATTTTATGCAGAAAAAATCTTGATATGTAATGAATATTTGGTCACTATTCGGTATTCGGCCATTCTGCCGAATATTCGGCAAAGTATTATCTGGATCTACATTATTACCCATAAGCAGAATATTTTCCAGTGTTCTGCAACAGGACTTATTAATTTATACAAATGTTCTGCAAGCATTTCACAGTGAAAAAAGTTTCACTTATTCAAGATACAAATTGTTCTGCAGGACTTCGTTTGTTCTGCGGCGTACGTCACAGTTTTAGGCACTTTCTGCTTCTAGGCATTATTAGAAATAATTTTAACACACACTTGTCTTTTTGTAATAGCTGTTCATTTTTTTTATCTTCAATATTTTTAATTATCTTAATATCAAATAATTTTTATTATCTTAAATATTTATATTAAAGTTTTTTTTCTCCCTTCAATAACACAGCTACATTCTGATTATTTTTCAATAATGACTGAACTTATTTCTACATAAAAACAATATTTTTAATGTTTTTCCTTCTTAAGAAAAAAAAACTGTTGCCATTTGGCTACCGCATATTCAGTGTTGGGCCGATTGATATGGTCGAATATTTGATATCCCGCTATTCGGCCAAATAACTATTCGTAACATCCTTAAAAAAAACCGGTTATATTAAATTTGAAAGAAGAAAAAAAAACTCCTATTAGATTGAATATATGCTAAAAGAAATCTTCTATAATCAGTAAGTAAAATACATAGGGAAAAAATCACATTTTAATCTACCAAAAGTGTAAAGGGAAGTCTCATAGAACTGAGTAATGTTGTCCAGTTCTATGAGCCCACGCACAATATGGCCAACCTCACTTTAATGAGTAAATTTCGTTTTCAAGTGGGCAACAAAGAACTAAAAAATGAAATATCAAGCGAGACATAAGCATATGTGTTATCAAATTTCTCAATGAAAATTCTTTTCTCACGTGGGCAACGGAAATCTGAACTAAACTGAGCTATAAGTTTGGCAGAAATGAAAGGAACAGATCAAAGAACTTGCATGCTGATGCACTTAAACAGGGATTCTGCTTAAGCACCACAACATGTCAAACAGGGTAAAATTCCTAAAGGGGACATTAAAGACTCTCTTGGGATGCTTAATTCTCCAGAGCAAAAAAAGAAGAGATACCACGCTAAATTTATGCCAGGAAAATTTCAACCAAACTGAAACTAAAAATTCATTTATAAGTAACTGAAGGAAAAAAAAAAGATTTACAATTAATTTAGAATGACAATTCGTTTAAAAAGTTCTCAAGATATGGTGAAATATGCAGAAAGTAAAATTAAGATGAAGGGGTCCAAACTTTCGATCGTTCATTTAACCTAACTCTTGGAACCATATTTCCCATATTGCAGATACCTGCATTTTGAGAATCAAAAATCCTGATCCATTGAAAAAAAGGTATGTTTAGTCAGACAAAGCACACTTTTTGCGAACTTATTGAAAGTCAACCCTTTGAACATTGGATTTGAAAATCCGATCGCTAGATCAAAAGTTATTCAGGGTGTTTTGTTATTTTTTCTATACTGTACATGCTGAAAATTTTCGGAAAATCATTTTTTAACAAAGTATCATCATGGACTATCACAAGTCAAATAGAGTAAAAATCATAAAAGAGGAAGTGAAAAAGTTCCTTGAGATGATTAATTCTCTAGCGAAAAAAAAGATGAGATACCACATCAGAGTTATGTGCACTGCACAAAGCTAAATAAAAACAAACAATTCTGCAGAAGTCTCAAGGGCCTACATTCTGAGAAGTTTCCCCTAATTATATTAATTGCAATTGGCTTGAAAATCTACTTTGAGTTATATACATAATTAATGGAACAAATGCTCCATTTTTAAATATAAAAAAAGCAATTTGAAACTTCAGAAAAACAAAAATAACTAAAATGCAAAAGTCAATACAGTAAGACTTACTCTTTTGAAATCGCTCATGTTGGTCATTGAAATGGTACTACCTATTATAGCTAAATGATCTATTCTTGTTGTATCTGCACCACTTTGATTATCTTTAACAAATATCTAAAACAAAAATCAGAATATAATTTTTACCAATTTCTTAAATTACAGATTGATACTACTGTGGGTAACTAAAACATGAAATGAATATCACAACCTTTAACTTCAGTTAAATGACGTCCTTTTTTTTAGTCTTTAGCAAAACACAAAATAAAAAGGGTTCACTTTTATCTGGAAATTTCTGTCTGAATATATAATATCAATAAATCATTCAAGGCTTTTTTAATACAAAATTTAAAAGTAATCACAGCTAACAAAATCTTTTTTTCCCCCTTTTTTTTGGAAAAAAAAAACCTTTTTTTCTTACTTTTATCATTTTTAAAAACAGTTTGGGATTTTTGAAAAAATTCCAGGTTTTTTTTTTTGTTTTTGCTTTCGTTTCTTTTTTAGAGAGAAATACACTGTAATAGTTTTTATTTTTATTTTTTGGTTTTAATTAAACTTAGAAGATATGTGACTATTTATAATTTACTATTAATGTTATGATATATATATAAATTTTAGGCCTTTTTTTCTTAAGGAAATTGACATTTTCCCTACTTTCTCATTCAAAATTAGTTATCCACTTAAGAATCATTCAAAATTCTGAATTACTTCAAAATAGAAATTATGATAAATTTTCTTAAAAAAACTAGCACAACTTTATTTGAATACAGCATATATTATAAAGAAACAATGAAATTTAATTCCAAAATAAAATTAAGACTTTATAACGAAAACAATCCATGTATGTTCTTAAATACTAAATGTTCTGATGTAAACCCTTTCCTCTAAAGCAACATTTCTGTGAAATCATTAATTCAATCTTTAACTGCTAATACAGTGATATAAGAATTCAAAACGGTTGACAGCTCAAGATAAATAGTTAATTGCAATGGTTTGGATACAAATCCTACTTAACAATGAAATAATACACTTCAATTCAGCAAAGCAATTTTATTTGAACAAATTTCTCTTTGGACATTTTATTATCTCTTGATAAATTACAAAAATACAAAAAAGGGAGAAAAAAATTTTTTTTTGGTTTGTTTTATTTTTAACACCTCACTCATCCTCTAATTTGCAATTTACCTGCATGCTTCACTCACTAGATATCATTCCTTCGGTAAAAATTAGTAACAGAGATGAAAATTATATGAAAAAAATACATAAATATTCAATGTTATATGAGAAAAATTATAGCATCATTGAATAAATATGAGGAGAAAAGATACAAAACCAACCTTTTGGACGCTCTATATTTGGTGAGACTATCTTGGAACCATGTTTATGATTCAATTGAAAAATGCTTTCAAAAGATTGCAAATGGAATTGCAAGCAAAAAGTTTCAAGTGCAATTATCTAGTGCTTTCAAAATTCTTTATATTTATAGTAGCTGAACAATTAGTGTACAATTTTTAGTTATGAATGTTTATTTAAGTAGCATGTTAGGGCTTATTTACAATGTGAAATGTTCACAACTAAGATGAAATAAGCCATTTTGGATTAAACACAGACCATTCCTTTACATAGGTTGCTGGTCCAAGGGACCACAGATGATTCTATAGTGGTCCCAAGCTAACAAATCATCTGTAATATCCATACCTGCCATGCTAATTCAGCCAAAAGTAACTATTAATTGGCATTTGAAAGTTGAATTGTATTATGAACATTGGAAACCAGTTTGAACTAGCTTCATTTGAAGAAGCAATTTTGTATACATATTTTACCATCAGTTATGGTTAATTTAGCTGAATTCTCGATACAGAAAAAATATTTTAAAACAAATAGAATCGAAAACTTCCTGCCACTTTTTATGGCATACTAAATTTCTCCAGTAAAATTTGGAAAAAGATTAATTTCTGATATTAATAAGGGTATAAAGGAGACTTTCAGGAACATCTAAGTGATAAAAAGGACTAGAAATGATCAGTGAACACAGTGATAGAAGGAAATAGAACCAACCAAAAAAATAGAGACCGTTTAGGAAATTAGGAACCTACTAGCAAACCTGATATTTGATTTTTAGTTGGCAGTCATAAGGTATCGATAAAAATTTTAAAAAAATAACCAATATTTCAAATTTAAATTTTTTTAAACAAAATTTATAAAATGTCTATTTAATTTAAATAAATATAAAGAAAAGTATGGTTTCTCTTACAAAATAAATAAATTAGGATAAATATTAAAAAAGAATATTAAATAAAATATGCTTTTCCAGCTATTTAGTATATTATCTGTTGTGTATTAATAAATTTTTATTAAATACAAATTTAATAAAAATTGTATTAAAAAAAGTATGGATAATATTCTCATGGTTTTATATTTAGTTTTTACATTGGTTTAAACTGTTAAATTTTAATACAGTAGAACCCAGCAAAACAAGATTTAAAGAAATAGGAGCTTAGTTTTAAAATATGAAACATTCATTTAAATTCTACGTTGTAGACAAAATATAACATAAATTACAATCACATATACTGTAGACTAAAGCTCTTTAGATGTCCTATTGCACAATTCGTGTGAATTGGACAATTACCTTTCTCAATTTATAACACTGGTATCCACATCAAAATGTAAAATAGCATAGCATACTGTTAGAGTAACTCACCTGAAAGTTTTGAACATTTTGAAATTTCACATATCTCAAAAGCACTGGCTGTTCTCCTTTTAAATCTTCTGGTTTTAACCTAGAATTAAAATTATCACTTATTTAAATCAAAATTTTTGGTTTTGTTATATACAGAAAAATCACAATTTTTATTGCTTTAGCTAATTATTCAAAACGAAAGGGAAAAAAAAAACATAAAGCATTCAAAATATTTTCCTCCTTTAACTTTAGAAGTACAGTTAATTCACAATAAGTCAAATGAGAGGGTAATGAAAAAGAACTTTGACTTACCTTTAGTTTAATTTTTGTTTTGTTTTTCGATGTTTAAAAATTTAGGTATTATAATTACGTAGATCATTATGCATAGTACATTTATCTACAAAAATTATCACTTTTCATTTTTACAATGAAATGTTCTATCATGATTCTATGTTCTATATTAACATAAATGTTTTATAGTAACATGAAATTCCTCATAAAATCTTTAAAAACAAAATTGCTGTTATCAAAGTCTTTTTTTAAAAAAAAATCTGTACCCCAAAGGAAAAGTTTACACATTTTTGAAACAAGATTTTTTTTTTTCAATCACAAGCAAAGGCAACTTTTCAGTACAAGAAGTATTGCCTCTAATTAACACAGTCAGGCGTTTTTTGCTCATTTTGCCTCCTATTCAATTTTCGTCTCCGAACACACTGTTTTATTAGGAAGACATTTCAAAAACAAACTTAGTTCATCAATATTGAAAAAATCTTTTTCACAGTATCTTTGAAGCAAATTGGGTAGGGTTTCCTTAATCCACTGTTCACATACTGACATTTATTACATTTATTATTTTTATTATTACAGACATTTATTATTACAGACATTTTTAGCTTCATCATGGAAAGTCCGAGATACACTGTTTTGTATAGCATTAAAATTTTCGAGCCAAACCAAAGCTGGCGTTAAAATTTCCAATCTTCAACAAAGCTGCAAAATCCTTCATTATATTATGTAGCAAAGTTACACAAATAGAAACTGCATTATTCGAATTCCTTTTGCTCTTGAAAACATTTAAGAACAGCTGGCTTCAACAATAGCTTCAAAGTTTTGTGACCATTTAAAGTTTTATTGAAAAGGATGCAAAAGATGTTGATTAAATAATAGATAGTTAAGTAATAGCAATAAATTTAATCTTACTCTAATATTTGAACAGGTTCTGAGGAGTCAGCTTGATCAAAATCTAGAGTTCTTGGTTGATTAATAAACAACTTTAAAGTTTTAGGTCCATTATCTAGAATATAAATAGATAAAAGTTTTAATTAATGCTTAAATTCTGAACAATAAAAATTTATTTTAGCATAATAGGTCAAGTGCATACAGGCACTATTAAGCTAAGCTAAATGAAATTAATAAAGTCTCACACAATAATATATCTTAAACTATACTTAAATTGAACATTTTTTTGTGTTATGGAGAAATTAAAAAAATGGATATTCAAATTGACACAGCTTTGAAGTGTTAAAAAAAACAAAGACTTAACAAAAAAGAATAGAGAAAATTAATGGAGCTCATAGTCCATCCATAGTCAATGCTATAAAAATATAACTTTCATCGATCACCAAATGTAAAGCATTAAAACAAATTTTTAATTTTTCAATAGAAAAGTCTTACATGCATTTGTTAAATTCATACAACCTATATATAAAGAAAGAATATCCTGATTGACAGATACATCTTTGAAGAACCTAACTGAATCTAAAGAACTGAAGCAAGAAGCATGAAATTTGGACAATGGGTTCCATTTATGATCTAGATATTCTCTTATGAAGGATTTTTTTGATCATAATAGGTATTAAACAAGCTTTTAAAAAAAAGCTTTGTACTAAAAACCGCAATAATGGAGAAATGGTAACAGTTCATTTAGGAGAAACGTAAGAAATTGCCATACTATTATTTACTCCAATGATGCTTAATTAATTTTGGTAACTACTGATGCTATGGTAATTGAGATAGCAAATAACATAGGTAATGTACAAAAATATCCATGTTAATATACCTATTAAAACCACATCAATACTGAGCAGTTTTACACTAGATATTGTGGAAAGAGATTATTTATGGCCCCTTGAAAGTGATAAGTATCAGATAAAATCTCTTGATTGAGGGAAATTTTGACTACCATAAGTTGGTCTTAAGCAACAGCATCATGACAAATTATACAAAATACAGTTAATCGTTATTGTGATGAAATGAACTACAAAAAAAGTGTTCTACTCAACTTAATTGCATAAAGCCACAAGAAATGGCAAATATCATAATAAATTTTAAAAAATGAAATTATTTTAACCAATGGCAAAATTTTTTTGGGCTTTCTGCGACAAACTTCCCTGGCACTAATATTTTGCTTTAAGATATTTTTAATTATAACAGTTAATAATTTAAAGTAACAGAAACGTGCATACAGAAGAAAGTATAGAATAAAATGTATAAGTAATATTTTTTTAATTCTAATATTATAGGCGATATTCTGGCATTTTGTAGACGGAAAAATGCAATTTCAAATTTTGTAAATTATTACACAAATTAAAATTCGTAAAAAGGTCAAGTGATACATAAATTAAAAATCGAAAAGTCCGTTGAACCCCCAAAATAAAGATCACAAATCACTGGAATAGGACTTTAAAAAAGAGGTAATCAAGCGAATGTAAAATATGGTATTCTTTAACGAAAAAAAAATGAAAGAAAGAACATTTCTAGACCCAACTATCTTTTAAACTTTTGCAATTTCTGAATTTTTTATTTTATATTATTAATTTGAAATTTTTACTGAAGCCAGTTATTACCGATTTTTTTAAAGATCTCAAATGAGAATAGAAAAATCATGATTATTTCTTTCCTCTCTGATGCACAGGGAAGACATCCTTGAAAGAAAAAAAACGTGCAGAAAAGAAGAAAAAAAAAACATTTTTCAAAAAATTATGTATAAAGGAAAACAAAAATTTTCCTTTTCCAAATTCAAAATCTTTCTGCAAAAACCTTGTAACATTCTGCGACAATGTCGCCGCAATTCTGCCACAGGGATTTTAAGTTTTATTAATTGTGCAGGTATGTCCTTCATTTTTGTGCATGATTTAAGTGTAATTAGTACTAATTTATTGATAATGTACTTTCTATTTTTCCCCATATGAATGGGATTTTAGCTAGTAACAATATAAGCAACTAAGTATAAATCTGTCTGCAAATACACAGTGAAGACTAAATTTTATCTAACTTCTCTCATTTGGAAGTCAACATTATTGAGTTAGATTAAATTTCTTGATTTTTCTTCATAGTTGTAAGCAACAGGTTTATCTGAGAAAAAATTCTCTTCAAACACTATAGAATAACTGTGTAAAAATGTTTTTAAGGAAAGCGACTAACCTTCTGGGGCTGTGATTTTCAGAGAATGAAGTTTTACTGCTTGATTGAAACCATAAGACATAATCAACTGAAAACAAAGAAAAATACAGATACTGTAAGATAATATATTAACATTTTTAAGACTTCTGATAGTGTAAATTTGTTGGAAGTTTTCATCTTACCTTTGCTAAAAAAAATTTTAAACTAAGGAATTTACTTTTTATATAATTAAGACATTGAAAATCAGGAGTTCCAAATTCTATGCCACAACAGCATGTGTAGCCAGGGGTCCATGACTTCAAGTTTAGTATTTATCCTTTAATTGTGATTTGTTGCTATTCAAATGAAAATCCAAGTATCAAGTTAGATTTCATAAACTTTGCTAATGCCAATTAATATCAGTGTAAAGCTGGGTTTTCAATAGTTGTTGTTCAAAAGAACAAATATTGAAATACAATGTAGACAAAGAAAGATGAGATTTAAGTTTTCCCAACAAAAAAAATTAGGTAATGAGCAAAAGCTCAACTATTGTAATATATTCAAATACTGATAATAAATTATTCTGATAAATTTATGAATTTCTCCTCGATATTAATGCTTAAAATATTAATAGTAATACCTTCTTATGAATTACAATTACGGTACTTGTCTTCACATAGGTATGATTTATCTTAAGTTTATATTCTCACAATTGGTTCTGTTTCATTATATTCCACATAACAAACTTACTATATCTCTCTGTATAAGTAGTAGATGTCAATAAAAAGTAGCTAAATAAAAAAGAGGAAATCTGCATGTTGTCAGATATTAGTCTTAACATTTGTAGTGAAGTTAAAAAATTAAATTTTAATAAATAGCGTTATCTATTTGAATTGTTATTAATCACTTCAATGGGTACAATTACTTCTCATTCATTTATTCTTATTGAGTTTCACAAACTATATTCCTTAGGTTTAATTTTTTTTCCAGAACAGATAACTATTTTTCAAATCTAGGTAATAGTCTGTTTCATTACAATTAACATATTCACAAATTATTTTAAAGTTACAATAATTGTAAATTCTGGAAACAAAATGTTCTGTGCTTTTGCGGAACATTTTGATGTTTAAGGGGATGACAAAAAAACAATAAGAATAAGAAGCATTTACAAAGGCTGTTGAGCAAAGTGTGCAAGGGTAGTCTCCTAGAGTATGTAAAAATATTAAACAAAATATGTATATGTATATATATATATATATATATTGGAAAACGATTAAAAGTATTTTTTG